GCTGTTTTCTAAACCTACTAAACTAGTTCATCCTGATATCATCCAATATGCAATATGAGAACAAATGTGAGATCCTTCGTTTTTCAAAGATACAAGGATGTCGTACTGATTCCGAAAAAATCTACAGTCTGCATCAGACCAGTCGCCCTCACGTACTGTTACTCACAATGCAAAGCGCCAGGTCAGAGGTCGAAATGACGGACAGCAGCGTACAGAGGAAATAATCACAATCAGACCAGAACACACAAAGAGACCACCAGTTATCTTTGTTCAGTCTCTAAATCATGAAATCGATCTCTCGTCAGCTTTTTTCAGACTGTAGGTGGACGCTACACTGTAGCGGCGTTTAACGTCAGCTGGGCTTTTGTTCACTTCCTCATTCCAAGACTGGAAACCAGCTAAGCCCACCCTGGTGTACTGCAGAGTAACCAAGGAGAAGACCAAGAGTTTAATAAATCTTCAAATGATAAGTTTAAAGACGTTGTTGGTTTGTTGCTGGGTCTGACAGATGTGTAGATTGTAGCTGCTGTGGTGGTCTGACAGATGTGTAGATTGTACAGGATTGACTGGGCCTCCTTCAAAGACTTTACTTTGTACACATGTGTTTCACCTGCAATTTCACCACACAATTCATACTCTGCATGCTGCTGTGATCCTTTATTCGGAGTGACCAGTACCAAGTGACCATGTAGAAAGTTAAAACCAGTTTGATTAAATAAGAACTGAAGTGAAGCGCTAAATTAAAAGTCAGACTCCCAGAACGCCTCTCATCCAATCAAACTGCTCTGCTGGAGCTAGCTGTTGTGCAAGACAAATGTGCCTTGTAGCTCCTTAAGCTGCACGAGGACGTCCTTTCTTTGTGTCGTCTAATAACTCTGTAATGGACCTTTTATCACGCTGCCTCTCTTAATCATCTGTGAAGGGGCTGCTGGACTCTCGTGCTACACGAGGCCCACAGAGAAAACTCCTGATGAGTAAAGCCTATTATCCATGGATGAAAGGTTTGGGCTGTATTTGGCTCACCTATGGATGATCCATGTCAGACTGTCCATTAATAACCTGCTGAGAAACTACACTATACACAGCTCTTATCAGTGCAAAGTTAGCTCTGTTAGCATGTAGCATTTCTTTACAGTTACACACTAATGCATCGAGCAGTGAAGCCAGACTGACACTTTAATACAGGAGGTCACATTTACCGTAAACAACAGCAGCCAGTGTGGATATTCTCCCAATTTATCCCAGGGATTAAAAGTAGCATGACACACACACACACGCACGCACGCACGCACGCACGCACGCACGCACGCACGCACGCATGCACACACACACACACACTCAGCTCCAAACTACAGGCACGGGATGGCGATTTGCAGATTTTTACAAATCCTGCAGACACATCTCATGTCAGATAAAAAAAAAAAAATAACCAGGATGAAGCCGTCACCTCTTTCACAGCAGACAGACCGTTTTTTCTGTCTCGAGCACTTTACCGCTGTGCTTCTTTTTTTATAGAAGCGTTTCAAGTGTAACCACGTTCACTTCTTCAAAGTGGATTTGACCCCCCAGCCTCATTAGCATTCCCGTAGCTGTGGCTACAAAAACACACTGGAAATATATTTCCAGTAGAATCATTCAAAGTTTATCTTTCTGCAAGAGCTCCAAGAATTTAACAAAAGTGAAAAACTACATATTTCATCCACAGTCCACAGGAATCTCGTTTTACTGACTTATTTTCCCGTTCCTTTGAGGCTTCATCCATCACTCGCTGACCTCTGGCTAACATCACTTTGGAAGCAGAACGAGTGTCACTCTTATTCAAAAGCACGCTTGTGAAATAATGCACATCCATCGCCTGTCACTGCTGGGTTTATTCCAGCTGTCAGTGAAGAAATGAAATGTCTAAAATAAACCTCGCCCTCCGTGATCTTTGATCTCCGGGGTCAGCCTGCGGTGACCCACGCTGAACCATCAGTCAAAATCAAACTCAGGAATAAAGAGTTGCTTCAGTCTGCAGTATCTGAAAACAATTAGGAGCCGAGCATGATGAGTTCACTACTGTGTCTGGCAGCCAGTCAGAGAATACATAAGGTCTGGAAATCTCGATTTGTCCTCATGCCCATGTTGTAATCCTGATGTAAGCCATCATGTCGCTTCATGTACTGCTGCCTGGATAAATGCAGCAGGTCTGTCCTTACATACGGGTTATTTCTGCTTTATATAACTTTGGTCAGGATGGCGATTAATTTCCTGAATTTTTCCAACATTTGCAGAAACACTTTTTAGCGTCTGAGAGGTGTGGTTGTGTAACTTGTTCAGAGGAGCGCGCTCACTTACGCAGAGGTCAGATGTTGAAGGAATCACACACAAACATCCAATTACATTTAAGTAATCTGTTAAGGGAAACCAATCAATTCACTTTAAGAGGCCGACTCGCAAACAAATACAGAGCTGAGCAGCCAAACAGCATCAGACCACGACCTCAAAACAAACAACTGTCGTATGGGAAGAGTGGAGGACTCTGAAATTTAAAAGAAATATTACAATGTCAATGCAACATCTTTTCATTTTTCCTCGAGTAGAACAAGAACCTGTGTTTAATTCCTGCAAAAGAAAGTCAATTTTTCCACAGTGATCAGCAACTTTGCAAACATTTCTGTTATTAATTTTGCTTTTTGCTTTACGATGTTAACTGCTGGTTAAAACCACAGGAAGGATGGACAGCTGTGACTGAAGACGTGTTAGTAGACTGCTCTAGAAACCTCGTTCCCTGTGTCCTACCTGTAGCGACATCGTTCAGCCTCTCACTCAGGTAATAGTCGTTGGGGTTGAGGTTGGGCAGCTGCTCCATGTACTGTTTAGGAATGAGGTAAAGGACCTCGGCCACATGCCCGTCCTCGATGATGGACATCCGCTTCACTGAGCTCTTTCTCTTCACCCGGACACGGTCCACGCTGTGGCTGCGGCTAGAGCTGCACAGCTTCCCCAGGCTGTTGAGGTTGGGCAGGTTGGGCATGGTGCCCTGCTCCCCGTTCAACCGTCCCACAGAGGAGTGAGAAGCACTGCACGGAGACGTTTGCAGGGTCGGACTCAGACCCCCTCTAAGAACCCGTCACCTTTGGACATGGAGACCACTGAGTGTTCACAGAGACACAAAAAGAAAAGAAAAGAAAGAAGAACTCAAATCATGGCAAGATCCAGAGAGGCCTCCAGTGGAAACTCCTCCCGTCAGGTCCCCTTCACCTGTCACTTCAGATCTGCCCTGGCTGTAGGTAGCGGAGCGCTGAAATCCAGCTTGAGGTGGCGGTGCCAAACAGCAGGCAGCAGGTATGACGAAGCACTCTGCTGCAGGTAGAGCTGAGTAAGAAGCGGGGAAAGGAGCTTACACTACGAGCGTCTTCAGTCCAACCAGCCTGGTGCCTTAAGCAGCTTAGAGCTGACGTGGAGCCCAAGATTATCTTCTGGGTGGGGTTAGGTAGCTCCACGTTAGGGTACGATGGGAGTCTCTTCACCCGATGGGACTCAGAGGCAACTCAATCAATACTTTATTCTCATAAAACCAAAGACAAAGTGAGATGCTCTCAGTGCTTTCAAAAAGCTATCAGCTTGTATTCAGTGTGCCAAACCTTTCATCAAAGTAAGAAAACAAACAACAACATCCTCTCTGAGACGCTTTAGGTTTCATCATGTTCATGATTATGTGTTTGTGAGAACGCACTTTGCTTTAAAGTGGCTTCATGCACAGTGAGAACAAACAGATGCATATCAGTATGCAGCATCACAGTCATCCAAGTAACACTTTCAGGGGAGATTGCTTTGGGTGGCTGCCAGTCCTCTACAAGGTCACCGAGCAGCAAGGTCACCGCAGCCGCCAACTGTGCACAAACACACATGAATCATCAGCAGGATCCTTCGCAGTGAGAGAGGCTGCAACTTCATCAGTACAACCAGCCGGGGCCCTCCAACATAAAATCATCGGGTTTAGGATTTGAGAAGATGTACTTTGTAAGAAGGCATGTTCTGACTTTTTAATCTTCAAATCAGCTAATGGGACCGATATCTCTCTGGGCAGAGGCTTTCTGAATGTTTTCTTGTTTTTTTTTTTTTTAAAGCCAAATCCATGTCACCAACTTCCTGCTCTCCCGTTATTAAGAGCATGTTTTCTGGGGTCAAAGATGAACTCATTCTTTTTGGAAATAAGCATGATTAAAAATAAACAAGCAAAATAAGCCCACAGAGCTCTGGTGTGTTATCATGATGTGAAACCATAAAATGCTGCAAAGTCTGAGATGTCTCTGACAAAGATACAGAGAATAATCAGGAAACAAACAGTTAATGACATGTAATATCCATCAAACAGAGAAGGGAATCACAGTTTTGTACTCTCACTCACTAAATGAAATAGGTCACTGAGGTACGCAGGCTTGATGAAGAGCACAGATGAGATGACAAAGCATAAAACCTCCTTTGAGTCGGGAGATGTCGGGCTCGGCCGGCACTTTAAATTTAATGATCTTCCTCTTTGTCCGAGAGGACACAGAGACATGATTGGCTGGAGCTGCTGGCTGTGATATCCACTATTTACGTACATCGATTCAGGATCTCATTAGACCTAATCCTGGCTCCGCTTACAAACACAGCTCCGGAGACGCAGGAGTTTTACATCAGAGGACGGATGAAGTGCCATAACGAGGTTAAAACATTAAAACACACACTGTCACACCCACACATGCACACACATGGACCTGAGACTAACTAAGGACATGCTATTCTGCTGCAGTGAGGCGCTGCCCTCCAGTTGTCATCCTCTCTGTGGTCGCTGTGACACACACCCACAAGCCGACACAGTCATGCTCAGAAAACAGGAGATCTGTCCCTGCGCACTTAGAATCAGCATCGAAACACGACCACATTTCCCCAGCCTGCATCGTCTCTGCGTACTGCTGCACAGCAGAAGAAACACACCCCCCTCCTCTCCGTCTCCCCTCCTCTTGTCTTACCATCCAGTCCGAAGCAGGAGGTGATTTTTTGGGCGTAGTTGCACAGCCCATCGTAGCCGGGCTCCCTCCACGTTGTGCTCCTCTCCTCCATCTCTACACACTCCCACACACACCGTCCCGTCCGGCAGAGCTCTTACTCCTTTCCCTGCTCATCTATTATTCAGGCTTTGGCCAGGACACATGCATGCGCGCGCACACCCGCCCTCATATTCACTCATACACACAAAACACACACACACACGCACACAGTGACAAGGAAAAGTGCTGATGCAGAGGGTCGAGCTGCTGGAGCATGAGCAGCCCTCTCCAGTGGTCGAATAGAGAGGAGGCAGCAGATCAGACTGCTGCAGAATGAGCCTCCTTTCACCCACCATTGATCATTTAGATCACAGGTTCCCATGTTCAGGAGGTGCTCAAGAAAAGGGCAGGGCTGAGTTCACAGCAGGACTGACTGGGGATGGACCAGAAATTCTACAAAGTTAAGACATTTCTAGCCTGTTTCAGATGAAGCTAGAAGAAGGTTACACTCAAAGTCACACAAAACAAAAATCAGACGTAACACAATAATGTTTTTCTGCATGTTAATAATGATGTCAGGCCTGAACATCAACATTTTTTAACGTTTAACTCTGGTTCATGTTGCTGAGATTGAGTCCAAAATGTCATTAGAGAAGAGAAGAAAAACCTTAAACACACAAACTCGTCACAGCTTTCCTGCAACGCCTTCAAAAAGATCCACAAAACTTGATATTTGAAATCACATGCAAAAATATGCAGGAGTCCAGCAGGAGCAGCTGAAGACTGGATGAACAACACAGGCCCACACGAGAGCTCTGCAGCTCAACATGTTGATCTAAGATTCTGCAGTGTAGCACGAATAACAGGATTAAATGGACCAAGATGAACAATAAATTCAGCCACATATGAACAGTCAGCATAAACAGAAGGAAAGCCGAACAGCAAACTATGACAATAAATACAGAGATCAGGCTAAATGGGCTCACGGTGGGAGGTTTAATGTTATTTCCCAAAGAGGGAGAACGAAGATGGAGGAATTTGATAAAAAGGCCACTGAGGGGACCTTGAACACAGCACAACTCCCCCCTGTCACTCTGCAGTTCTTCTAATGACCACTAGAGTCTGTCTCCTGCAGTGAGTCAGTCCCCATAGAGCTCCATGTTAAAATGTCCAACTTTACAGCTGTAGTTCCTCCAGTGTCCACGAGAGTCTGTCTCCTGCTCCTAGCTGCTACCATTTCCATCACTCTCTTACCGTCTCGTTTGTGTACCTCAATGAATTAGCCAGCAGCAGAAGTAGGCAGTTAAACTTGATAAGTTGCCCGCTCGACGACCAAAAGGTCTCAAAAAGGAAACCGATGGGTGACATAACGGTGGCTCTGTCCATTCTTTATTGAGTCTATGATTTTTCTAATCAAAGCTTCACATGTAGGGATGAATGTGAGAACAATACAATAATACACAGCATGAGCCTTGTCAACATCCTGAGATAACGGTGGCATAAAGATTTCATCAAGAAAAACATGTCACAGAGATTCTGACTGAAGAAAACAGGAAGTCTAACGACCACAGGAGGGTAGAGAGATCGATACATCCTCAGGGTTTATTGTAAGGTGAGCTGACTGATGGAAGGACGTCAGTGCCGAGGTAAGAGCTGATGGCCTTGTGCAGATATCTGTGGTGAGAGGCCGGCAACTGCTAGACTGAGAGGACAGTAATGGCTGATAACCACTGGAGGATCAAGGGAGGGGCAGGTGATCATGAGCTCTGAGTAAGTTCATTTAAGTTTACTTCACATATGAAAAGAAAAAGCAGCAAATCCTCACAGCTGATAATAAAAAATGTTCATTATTTACTACAGGATCAAAGATGTGTAGTGAGTGAAATGCTAAAGGTATCTTACAATATGATCAGACGTTAAAGAAACATGTTATGTTGAAGTGCTGGCTTCTCTGACAACAATGCAGCAGCCAGTATGTCCTCCTTCTAACTTTAGATTCTGCTCCTGAATGCTCTGGATTTGTTTGGACCAGAGAAGGTAGGCGGTTCTAAGACACCCCACACGGCCGTTTTGGACGCCCCTCGGTTTGCCTGATATGAGAGCAGTTATCAGGTCAACAGGTGTTGCAGCGATGGAAGCGGGCAAGAGAAGTGGTTCAGATAGAAGTGATTGTACCCGACCTAAAAAGCCTCTGCATGTTTCTAATAAGCTCCACGAGCAGAAACGTGCTCAAACTAGGATCAATATTGGAGATGCTTTTGAAAAATGGAGAGAGGTTAGAACACAGAAAGGTTTACAGACCGATGCAGAGCTGGATAAACACTGAAGCTTCAGTGTCCACCACATGGTGAACTGCATGAGCATCGACTCTAGAGAGGAGGGGGGAGACAGCTCTCTACAATGTTTAGAATTTGGACTGCAGTACCAATTTTAAACACTAGGGGTCAGAGTAACATACTGCTCCTTTAAAATTGTGGCCTTTAATTTTGTTTATCAACTTATCAATTAGTGGACACTTTTAATGTGGCAAAAATAATTCAAAATAAATTCTAACCATTCAAAATCATTTGTGACATGAGTGCAGATTCTCAAAAAATTCCCACAACACTCTGAAAATAAAAACAAATACTGCATGTCCACTTTGAATATATAAAAGGTTATGCATATCATGCTCTGCACAGCCATTAAAAGTGCAGTGAAGTAACTAAGCCCATGAAAGTGTGTTTCATTCGATGTAATTGATCTATTAAAAGCTGTGTTTGTGTGTCTGATTTATACCTGATAATAATTAAGCTAGGATGATAAATTATTTACCTGTATTCATGCAACCGACACACAGATAATTGGCACGTCTCCATCCTCGTGGAGGGTTTAGTTACTTCTCATGAATAATGATTGACTGTTTGCAGGGGGCTTTAAACGCGCTAATCAGGTCTGTGGACCACAGGGGGGCCATCAGGCGGTGGACTCGGAACTGCATCGATCTCCAGCAGCAGCAGCATGGAGCTCAGCTGCAGCAGGACGCTTCAATGATGTTGAGTTCAAAGCCATCTTACTGCAGAGGGGAGTGACACACACAGCCTGAACGTCTTTATAAAGCATGATGATGATGGTGATGTTGTATCTGATAGAAGGATCATACCCTTCATTACAAACACAAGCACAGATTTATTTTAACAGGTGGAGCTGTCACCCAACCAGACTTTTAAACTTTGACACGATATATGAAAATCAAACAACATTGGTTCCTGCTTTGATACCAAGACAGCAAACACAGAAGTCCAAGGCACTTTATTTTGGGTCAATTCTTGTTCTTAAAAATCAAACATTGCAAGCAAAGTCCTGCACACTGTCTATGTTACAAAACTATGTTACAGGCAACGATTCAACATGGCCTGTAATGTTTGATGGATTCATTTTTATTACACATTTTAAAACATGTGGTATGAAAAAGTATTGAACATTTTACAACCATAGAAACAGCTGGAGTATAGGGCTGCTAAATTATAGCAAAAAGTCATAATCACAAATGTTTTAACTGATATTGAGATCACGATTAATAAAGACTATGACTCGTGGATATTACAACATCTGCATCACATATACAACATCTGCATGACATGCACAACATCTGCATCACCTTAACAACATCTGCATCACCTTAACAACATCTGCATCACATTCACAACATCTGTATGACATACACAACATCTGCATCACATTCACAACATCTGTATGACATTCACAACATCTGCATCACCTTAACAACATCTGCATCACCTTAACAACATCTGCATCACATTCACAACATCTGCATCACATTCACAACATCTGCATCACATTCACAACATCTGTATGACATTCACAACATCTGCATCACCTTAACAACATCTGCATCACCTTAACAACATCTGCATCACATTCACAACATCTGTATGACATGCACAACATCTGCATCACATTCACAACATCTGCATCACATTCACAACATCTGCATCACATTCACAACATCTGCATCACCTTAACAACATCTGCATCACATTCACAACATCTGTATGACATGCACAACATCTGCATCACATTCACAACATCTGCATCACCTGCACAACATCTGCATCACCTTGACAACATCTGTGTCACATTTACAACATCTGCATCACCTTAACAACATCTGCATCACATGTACAACATCTGCAACACATTCACAACCTCTGCATCACCTTAACAACCTCTGCATCACCTTAACAACATCTGTATCACATGCACAACATCCGATGAACATTTTTGAGGCCAAAATAAAAAAAACATACACTTTGAAACATTTGCTACAAAAATCGTCATTGAAATGTAAACTTTTGCTCAGCATTAAGCTGGAGGCTCAGACAAAACATTCACAAATCTAGCATCCAGGAGGACAACACCTGATGGCATCAAACACCCGTCTGCAGGTATCACTTATACTCAGAAAGATTTAAAATTTTATGTAATTAACCATGCAGTGCTTCAAAATTGAAATCTGTTGTGTGAAGGAGACCTGGACTCGTCTGCTCACATTAAAACAAATAAACACAACCAACAGAGAAGACCAACCCGAGCTCAGATCAGGTGTTTCAGTCATTCTCACATACATGGACGCTTACTGAGACATTCTCTTTTTCCAAGAGAACAAAATCATATAAAAAACATTGCAAAAAAAAACATTGCACTTGTGTCACGCCACCAGCTGAGCACATGACAGAAACAGTGATACACAAATGAAACTGCTCAGGATTATCCCAAGCAGGCAGCAAAGGAAGCAGCAGCTCCTCCACACAGCTTTCATGGATTCAACAATCAGGGCGTGTGCAGAAACATTAATATATGAACCATTAAAGATGACTACAAATTGAAATAGAAACAATGAGTGAAGGTTCATTGTCAGATGTGAGATCTTTTCAAAGCAAAGTGGTATGAACAGAAGAAGTTAAAGTCTCTGTGAGGCTGCAGCAGAGGAAGCTCTGTGATGCTTCAAAGCTTGATCCAAAGACAACATGGACTAGAAGATCTTAAAATAGTGAAACAGAAATTAGACTGCTCAGTTTTATCAAAATCAGGCAGGTAAGGAAGCACATCAGTCCTCTACAGAGCTTTGATTTGTGCAACAATGAGGGTGTGTGCAGAAACTCTGGTGATGTGCATCATTCCTGATTAAAGATCAGGTCAAATTAAGAAATAGAAAGCAGTCAGAGGAGGTTTATTATGACATCTGGGCTGTTGTTTTTTTTAAAGTGAGATTGACTCATGTCTGCACACAAAATAAGTTGTAGTGTGTGTCAGGCTGCAGCACCAGCTGTGGGTGCTGACTCTCAGTCATGCACCCACCGGTGTAACCTACTTACACTCCGCGTCATTATCATAGCCTGATCCTCCAGAAACACGACGGATATGAGCTCTCTTCATCATCTTATCCCTCTTTCAACCTGCACCCCCCTCCTCGCTTAAAACTCAGACACTTTCCCCTCTCTGTGGTCTGTTATGAAGCCTTCTGCGGCAAAAGACACTCACCTCTAGCAGCAGACATGCCCGGTAGGTAGAGCCTCTCTTTCCTTTCTTTGCAGAGATCCCCGGCAGGAGAAGGTCCGCTGCAGCTCTGGCACAGAGGAAAAGGACCGGTCGGCAGCCTGATATTTTGTGAACCTGAAGTTTGCAGTTTGTCATTTAGCGGATTAAACGCAGGAAAACATTCAGCCTGCGATTAGGTAGAGCCGAGCAGACTGATCGCGATGGAGAGAGCACTTTCAGCGACAGGGCGTGTCCTGCACAGACAGCATCCTCCTGATTTAACAACTTTATGTTCAACTGAATGTCACTGAATTATGGAGATATCAAAAATAAATCCTTCGTGGAATCCCCTCTCTGTGGAGCTGCTGTCGGCTCACCCCCACGTTAAACCGGGATAACCCACTTTGTGTCTGGGATGACTCTGCTGTTCTGCACGCGCTGGTTGAGCTAAATCATAAAGTTGACCGACACTCAGGAGCAATGGTTGCTGTTTTTCATCTGTTTTTATCCATTAATCCTGCTACTTTAAAAGTATAAGACTCAATAATCTCTTTATGGCGTGGATTAAGCTTGATCCTATAACAGAGACACTTTGATAAAGGATAATATCAGAGAATAAAAACACATCTTTGATTGAATTATGACAGTAATCGATCGATTCGGACCACTGTCCCATAGAGCACATATTGCTTATTGATCTGATTCTAATACTCGGTTTTATTTTTCAAGAGAACTTAATGATTGCTGCTCCCAAACTGAAAGAATATCGACCACCCACCCTCTCTGCATGTCGCTGTGGGTTGCTGCCTGTCTTCATTGGTATGCATTGATCGTTTTCAGTAATTATAATGATGCATTCACGTGCTCCTCGGAGGCTCCAACTTCCTGATTTCATTGTTAAGAGCTAATAAACAAACCTTATACTTCAATTCTCATTTTGAAGAAAAACAAAAATATATATTAAATGCTGGAGCAAAGTTTAAGATCACGTCAACATGAAGGGGGAAACTTATTACTTACTTAGAGCCCTTATTACTCGTCCAATCAGAAACAGCAGATGACACTCATACTGCACATGCTCAGTTAGATCTTTAACCCAACATGAAGACAGAAAAAAATGCTTTTACTGGCTTTAACACTGTTTTTGTTCCATTAGCTGTAATATCTGTCGGACTGTCCTTAGCCTTTGTTAGGGCTGTGCATCCTCACCGGTCTCACGATTATGATTATGATTGTCCTGTCAACGATTTGATACGATATCGCGATGCACATTTCTACTTTTTCATCATTTAACGGAAGGATGAGGGCCATTTACACATTAATATAGCAGAAATCAGGTAAATATCTCTCTGAGTCATGACTGTTTACAATGAGTGAGAAGCTCGAGTCCTGCTGGCTGTGTTGTTGTTAGAGTCGTGTTTACATGGACGGGACGGCCGGCTCCTCCCCTTGTGTATAAAAGCTGTTTTAGTCAAGAAGAACATACTCACTGCTTGATGAAATGTCATGTAACCGTATTTAGATCACGGTCATTGTGTGTCAATTTACATGCAACGTGAACTGTGAAGCTATGAGCTAACTAAGAGTGCTAACATTAGCATGCTAACACAACAATGCAGGCGATAGGCCAGGGGTGTCCAAAGTGCGGACCGAGGGCCATTTGCGGGGATTTTTTGCGGCCCGTGACTTCAAATGAAGAATCAGAAGATTTTGGCCCGAGGCCTCGATTAAGATTGAAACATTATCTTATTTTTCCTTTTCATGTTAACAAGGGCTGAACAATATTCCTAAAATAGAAAATGTTCAGTAACATGTATGTTGTTGTTTTTAAATCTACAGCTTTTACTATTTTCCACATTTTTTTTGTAAACTATGAAAAATAACTTATGCGAAGTTTTTGCAATCAAGCGGACTGTTGTTTAACCATTTAATGACCTGAGCTAAATGCAGAAAGCTTTTCCAAAAAAATGAACCACAGGTTTGATTCTGAGAAAGAAACAAATAAAGTAGAACGAAGAAATCTAAATATTTGATTTCCTTTTATTAAAGGGTTTCTTTAGTGAGCCTTTTGATTCTGATCTACAAAGCCTGACTATTTTTTCAACTATATTTTAAAAAACAAAACCTGTGGCCCGCGAGCGATTCTAACACGACAATTTTGGCCCGCAAGAAAAAAACTTTGGACACCACTGACATAGGCAATTGCAGCCTGAGCCAATTTTATCCGTCGCTTCGGCAACTTCATGTCTGACTACTTTGTGTGAACATTAGGAGGATGTCGAGGACAGCGGAGGCTTCAGTATGGAGGAGGTGTGGCCAAACAGAAGTTTTGATTTCATGCTGGTGCTCAAAGGCGACATCTGCCGCTTGCATTAATCCCAGTAAATAACCAACTTTCTCTTATCCGATAACACGTGAAAGCCCCTTGAGCCCGTCTGAAGTGTTCTTGCGCCCCCTGGTGGAGGAGAGCAGCAGAAGCAGCGTCTGGCGAAGGAAGTGCCACCGTGTCCACAGAGAGGACTGGTTACCTGAACCTGAGCTTGCTCACGTCTTGTTTACAGGCCTGTGAGGTCGTGCTCGGGTTTTATTGCTCACTCTTTTTCTTTCGCTTCAAGGGTCAGTTTATGAAACCTCCAATCTGGATCGCGGCGGCACCAACAGGAAGAAGAAGATAGAGGAATTCTCTCGCTCTTCTCGGGAGAAAATCGTCCAGTCCAAGAACAAAATGTTCTCCAAATTCACGTCCATCCTGCAGCATGCTGTGGAAGCGGTGAGTTTTCAAACGTGGTCGTTTTCTCTTTCCCTCTTTGTGTGTGTTTAGTCTACCAGAGGCCGCAGGTCGTCCTCACGTCACAAACATCACGTCAGCATTAGCAATACAGTGCTAACTAGCGAGCGAGCTAGTTAGCATTGTGTGTTCGTTTTGTCAAATTGTTTGTTTGTTGTTGGTGTGAGTGTACTTTTGCGTTTGTGTTTGTTTTGTTTTATAGAACCAAGTAGAGAAGCGAAAATGACCTCACTGTTATTTTCTGTCCGAGCCGCTTTAACAGGTAGCTTGGTCAGGTGAGCTAGTTAGCCGCTAATGCTAGAAGAAGCTAAGCTAATGTCGTAGCGTTTAGCTAGCTCTCGTTCTACTAACAGCAGTGTTATCGGGGGGAGTTTGTGTCGAAATGATTGCACAGCCTCATTTGATGTTGCGCAACTGTGTGAGCGGCAATGTTAAAGACACAGTCAGCGGGATGTTTAGATAGCTTAGCTTTAGCAGACGCGTTAAACAGCTAGTAAGTAGGTGTACCTGACACCTGCCCTCGAGCTGTTTCTTAAAGAGTCTTAAACATCAGCAAGTGACTAAAGGGGCAAATTTAGTCCTTAGAGAAATGTCTAAACTCCCTTTTTATTTTTTACAATACAGAAATACTGACAAACATTAAAAACAACAACAACAACAAACGTCAAGCTGCCTCCTTGAGAAAAGAAAAGGGTCTTGTGTCCATGTCAGTTTAAAAGGTGATTGTTATGTCCCTGAATGTGTTGATGATCAGGGGTAGAAGGAGGGTCAAAGCCAGGACTCAAAAGCATCAACATACTGATGAAGATAACACAGCACATTACAGAGCATGTCAATACAATCACTTCCCAGTTTGACACCTCAATAAAAGATCCCCAAATCTTAAGAAACTTGTGTGTGACAGTGTGTAACTTCTTCAAGACATGACAAGAAACCGTGTCGTTAAACAATTTTTAAAACAAGGAGAGGAGGCTGATTTCCACTCACACAGGAGACACCAAACAAAAGGAAGAGTCAAACATGGTCAGATAAACCCAATGTTTCAGAAAGGCTGTCGGGAATCAGCCGTCTGTTTATATACAAGTCATTGAACATTCAGAAGATGTTGTCCCCAAAGGTTTTGAGCTCAGGACACGACCAGATCAGGTCACCTAGGATCCTATCATCCGACTCCCACTTCTCCCGGGCAGCAGAGACAGAGGGGAACGACTCTGATTGATTTGGTTTTGGAGGAGTGCAGTCGATGAACAACTTTAAACTGAATGAGTGAAAGTCTAGCATTGATAGAACTTCTCCCGGCTGATCCTTTCACCTGCAGCTTGTCTGAGATCTCGACCCCCTTGTCTTTAATCTGTTCGTCTTTTATGTGGAGAGACGAGGCTGCCATAGCTAAGAGCTTATATCAGCTGTTTGACCTGTTATTCTGCGATACAGGTTGTCTATGTTTATAAAACTTGAAGAGTATAACGTTTTCTTAACTTTTGAACATTTTAACCTCTGACTCTTGAAGAATCAGTTTAAATGTATTTATTGATACATTTTCATTTTCCTCCTCCAGCTTGCTCCATCGCTGCCCCTGCAGGAAGACTTTGTCTACCACTGGAAGGCCATAACGCATTACTACATCGAGACTTCTGGTAAGACATATCTTTAAGAATGAGCAAACGCTTCATATGGTCATGACATCTGCAGACGTGGATTGATTGCTCCGCAGGTTGCCTTCACATCAGTATACATTTGAGAATAATGGCAGGAAAATATTTATCAACACGGCCTCTTATTCCACACATATTTCTATTATCAGTATTTTAACAAATGAACCGACCACATCCAGAGTTAGACTAAGCAGGTGGCAAGATTTTAAGGTCTAAGGAGCACGAGATGACATGTTTTTCTGTCAGTTGATGAACTAATGAATCAGCTGCTCGTGTCAACAAAATCACACTTCTGAGCACAAACTTTGGGGGCAGCAGTAGCTCAGTCTGTAGGGACTTGGGTTGGGACCCAAGGATCCTGTTTGTGAAAAATGTCTCAATACCAGAGAGTAAAATCTAATTTCCCCTCGGAGGATTAATAAAGTCTTTCTCCTGCTTCTGCTTCTAAATGTACGATAAACAATCCAGGTAGTGGTGGAGGGGATCGGTTATGAAGAACAACCGGCTGAAGAAGCATAAATGTGAAGTATGTTTGGAATGTCATGCTGCTAGAGTTTGCTGTGTGGATTTAGAAAAACTCAGATTATGGGAGGGGTTTTCCTCGTGTTGGCCTGTGGGGATCTGAGCAGGTACGACCTGTACATACTGTGTCTGTATCGGGTTGGATCTGTGATCTAGATTTTCCCACTCAGGACATATTTTTACACCTTCTGCTCAAACTACTGGTGCAGCTTCTCTTCTGCAGTTCTTCTCCCAGTTAGCCCAGTTTAACAAAACATTCCCTGAACAGCTGATGGGATTATCTGTTTCCTGTATTGTTATGCATGCAGCTGAGATTGTCGTCATGGTTACTTAATCAGTGGTTTTGCAGACTTGTGAGGTTAATGTATTAAGCATGTTCAGAGAGTGTTTCAAGACGTTTATGTTGCGTGTGTGTGGAGCTCTTGCTGTGTCTCTGACTGGGTCACCAACATTATGCGGTTGTGGAATCAACATGAATGCACAAAGACGTGATCACCACGCAGCTTCGTTACGGCGCCACTGTGCAAAAATTACACTCTTGCACATGCTGGTGTTTCATTGATATAGCAAAGAAAAGTCAGGATATTTACTGTGGAGGCCCGCGCAGGTTTGGTCTGTGTGTGGGGAACATCGAGTCATTTGATTGAACAAGAACAAACTTGTTGAAATCTCAGTATTTCTGCAACAATTATTCTCTTCTTGATTCCAGCCCGATGAGCTTGAGGTACCATCCTGTCTCCAGGGTCACTTTGACGATTTTACTGTTCTGCAATTCACAAAACAAATAATGAGGAGTGATTCACCTTGCTGACAGCAATGTTCTTAAAGCCGCTGGACTAATGTGAATATCGTGCATTATTAATGCGTCTCTGACAGCTGAGCCTTGGTGTGTAAGCAGAAAAGCCTCATGAAGGGGAAGTGGGGACATAAAACGCAGAGAGTTTTTCTATAGTGCAAACCTCAAACTTCACAAAGTCACCCTCTTTCTTAACGTTCCTCTATTTTATTTTATTTTATTTATTTAACCAGCTAAATAACCCATTGAGATTAGGATCTCTTTCACAAGGCTGACCTGGCCAAGAGGGCAGCAGCACACGTCATAAAAAGCATTACATGATAAAGAGACAGTTTACAAACAATAAGTTAAGAGAGAACATCAAATTACAATGTGCAAATTGATTTACAGATAAAGTGCAGAATCTTGATCACAGATTACAATTCAGAAACACAGGCACTGTCCAATTGTCTCACATTTTTTTATCTTTTAAGATCGAGCAAAAGGCTTCAAGTGAAATGAGATCCGCCATCTTCTAATGTGTCTGTGTTTCCTCCTGTTAGATGACAAAGCTCCAGTTACAGACACAAACATCCCGTCCCACCTGGAACAGATGCTGGACATCCTGACCCAGGAGGAAGCGGAGCGGGAATCTGGAGAGACCGGACCCTGCATGGAGTACCTCCTTCACCACAAGATCCTGGAGACGCTCTACACACTGGGCAAGGCAGATGTAAGACAGTCTGTGATTCAGCAGCTACATGTCGTCTACCTCCATGGAAATATGAATGAATGATAGGACAGGGTTGAGAAAAAGTTCAGCAATCAATCATCAGCAGGACGAGAACAGATTCAAAGCTATCAGATGATCGCAAGGTTGCACAATGAATCACCACCTGGATAAGTCATTTTTAACACCTTCTGTTTGTATTTTTCTCATCAGTGTCCTCCAGGGATGAAGCAGCAGGTGCTAACCTTTTACACAAAGCTGCTCGCACACATTCGTCAGCCTCTCCTGCCCCACATCAACGTCCACAGACCTGTACAGGTGAGAACTGAAGCATTCAGTGTGTCTCTCATGGTCTTTCTACAGATGCAGACGTTGGAGCTTATTCTGACCCTTTTCTTCTCTGTGGCTGTCACATTCAGAAACTGATCCGTCTGTGCGGGGAGGTGCTGGCTGCGCCGACAGAAAACGAAGAGATTCAGTTTCTTTGTATCGTCTGTGCCAAACTGAAGCAGGACCCGTACCTCGTCAACTTCTTTCTTGAGGTGAGCTTGAATGAAATCAGGGAGTAAAAGAGGTTAAAGCAGCACGTTCAGAAATATCCATCTATAAATAAATATGACACACAAAGTAAGAGACCTATTCTAAGCACACCATTCAGAGTCTTTCTTTCCTGTGATGTTGCAGAACAAGTCAAAGCGACCGGAGACTAAGAGTCCTGGACGAACGGAGGTGTTGAAGGAGAACGTGTTGGCTCCAGACACCGGTCAGTCTCGGTCAGAGGAGCAGGCTGAGGAGCCGCAGGCTGCAGCTGCTGCCTCCACCTCCAGTCCAATCACCAACAATAACAACAACAACAACTACAACCTCGTCTCCTCCCTGCTCAACCTCACTAAGAGCCCTGTAAGCTATCCCAGAGTAAGGTTGGTTTACTGTGAGTGATGTTGTGTTAGTTACATGTTAATCTGTTTCTCACCCGGCTCAGGACGGGAGGATCGTGGTGAAGGCGTGCGAGGGCCTGATGCTGCTGGTCAGTTTACCGGAGCCTGCAGCCGCCAAGTGTTTGATTGAAAACACGGAGCTGTGTGACCTTCTGACCGACAGGCTGGTCTCCTTCTATAAAGCGCTGCCTCAGTCCATGGACCCGCTGGACATCGAGACCGTGGAGTCGGTTAACTGGGGGTAAATGTGTGATTCAACTAGACTTCATAGCCCTTAAAAAGCCTCCCGTGAGATGTGCTTCTGTGAGCGAATAAACTTGATAAGCTCCATCAGATCTTTAATATCTCTCTCACCTTTTCTTCCTTCAGTCTGGATGTGTACAACCTGAAGGAGGACGCTGCCATCTTCACGGGGAAGCGAGCTCTTATCTCCTTCCTGTCGTGGCTGGATTACTGCGACCAGCTGATCAAAGAGGCTCAGAAGGTCTCTCATGCTGACTCACTGCGTTGTCATGAATCATACTGTAGTCTGATTTTAACATAACAAAAGAACTACTCTCCAAACAAGTTGTTTTTGCATCTGAAAGCCACAGAAGGCTGAAGGACTCTTTTGTTTTTCTTCTCTGTCTTTAGTCAGCAGCTGCTGTGATGGCGAAGGCAGTGAGAGAGAGATTCTTTGTGTCTGTTATGGAGCCACAGCTAATGCAGACGTAAGTCCTGAATCATCAATCCATCAATCATCCTTTTATGGAGATGTTAGTCTTTTCTTGGGCCGTTAAATGTCAGGGATGGCTTTGTATGGCTGTCTAAAGTGTCGATACTGAATCATTTATCAGTACCTACTGTTAGAGGTCCAATCAGTAAGATGTGTAGTGAGTGAAGTGCTAATGCAGTACCCATTTTAAACACTAGGTGTCAGAGTTACATACTGCTCCTTTCGATGAGAGAACCTTGGTTAGTTTTTTTTATTTGACAGCATCAAAAAGTACTAAATCTGTTTCAGTTAAAAAGATCCACAAACAGATTTAAAAACCAGAGAGAGAGAGGGCGAAAGCAACGATGATGCAGCGACTTTGAGATGAAGTTAAACTAGAGAGAGACGGTGTTGTGATCAAAGCGAACATAAATCAAGGTTTGTTTTTAGACTGTTTCACTGCATACAAGCTCTCAAACAACAGACTGCTATCATCCACAGTTAGACAAACAAATGATTTCAAGGCATCTTTAGTCATTAAGATGCACATGTTAGCTTAGCATCAGACAGGGGACAGAGAGTCTTTAAGTCCAAACCTGCAGACTGGGGTCCACATCACAGCCCAATGTGCCCGGTCTTAATAACAAGAACATTTTGTCTTTTGCATGCCTAGTACTTCTTTTATGTGCTGTGGTATCAAAGAGGTTTTGAGAACAGGGTCTGAATCGAGAGGTATCGTGACCACCCTCCTGCTCAGCAACACGTGTTCTGTTTTCGGGCGCACACAGGTCTGAGGTGGGCATCCTGACCTCCACAGCGCTGCTGAACCGGATCATCCGACAGGTGACGTCGGAGGCTCTGCTGCAGGAGATGGTTTACTTCCTGCTGGGTGAGGAGAGAGAGGCGGAGACGGCAGCTACCATCGCTCAGAATCCTCTCAGACACAGACTCATCGAGCACTGTGACCACCTGTCAGACGAGGTTATTATCACATCAGTGTTATTATTCAAGATCCTCCAAATCAGTGAGCATTTACAATCCTGTCTGTCTGCTGATCAGTCTTTCATTCTTTACATAAATGTGCCCCAAAAACTGGAAATCATTCATCAGTTAATTCTTCTTTCTTCTGTCCGTCCGCCCTTCAGGGATTCTTCAGTGAATCACATAATTTACCATAAGCACATGAATGTTAATAAGTATGTGTCAGAGCGCATTGTCATCACATAAAAAAGAGATGAATCATTCGCTTGAAGTTTGAAAAAGTCCCTCTGCGTGTTCCTCTGCGTTCATCTCTCCCTCCTCCCGTGTCCTCAGATCAGCATCATGACTCTGCGGCTGTTCGAGCAGCTCATCCAGAAGCCCAACCAGCACATCCTCCACAGCCTGGTGCTGCGCGGCCTCGGGGAGAGGAACTACCTGGAGAACAAACCACAGGAGGAGCGGGAGCCCCTGGAGAACGGGCAGCCCCATGATGCCGTGTAAGGACCCTGCTGTTGACCTAAGAGCCGCCTGGAAAATCACCTGCACTAAAAAAAACACACACAGCAGATTGAATAAAGTGAAGGCTGTGTTCATCAGATGTTCAACAAATTCATCTTAAACTGATCTTTGTTGTGTTTTAGTCGTGGGGTTCTTTATAAACCACGCTCAGTCACTGAGGGCTTTAAAGAGCAGCTCGTTGATCGATGTTTATTTGAATTCTCTGCTTTGATCAAAGCGAAAACAAACTGCTCTGGTTCTTAAAAATAAATGAACCCTCATGTTTTGTGTGCAGCATGCTTAACACTCCTTATGGCGTGCTGCTCCAACACGTTTGTTGTCCTTATTTGGTCCCCGACTGCAGCCATGTTAGACTTTGTTTACAAGATATGACATGATTATGATGATGTTTGTTAGGAGCTCACAAAGTGGGATTATTAGCTGCTGTTTAACATGTTTAATAAGAGCTCGTCTCTAACAATATATTCACACACTGCCTACATTATAAACAGAACAGAGAGAGGCTGAGCGACCTCACAAGTCCCATTAAGAAACATATTCTACCTTTAATCTTCACACGAGAAGATGAAACACATGCAGAGACACAAAGAGGTTGAAACCAGAAGTCTGAGGTCATCAGGGTGGGAGAGGAACTAGTTGCACTCATTGGAGGCGGATCAGAAATGAAGGATTTGACGTTGTGTCCTCTCTGCAGAGACCTCGAGGAGGATCCTCTGTTCGGTGACGACGTCTCTCCTGACAGCAGGCTGTCCGGTTCTGATTGGCTCAGCTCGTCTCCACCTCAGAGTCCCGATCACTCAAAGTCTGACGGGAAGACGGAGGTGCACAAGATCGTCAACAGGTACGCAGTCTGCACTACACACGATCCTCTTACTGCATCCTGAACGTACGCAGCTGTTTAATCTGTAACAGACTAAGAATCTATTTAAATTTTAACATGTCACACCCTGCTCGTTAGAATGAGAAAGGTAATGTTTAAATTCTCCGTCTCCAGTTTTCTGTGTTTGGTTCCCGATGAGGCGAAGTCTTCATATCAGGTTGAAGGGACGGGCTACGACACCTACCTCAGAGACGCACACAGACAGGTAAGAATCATTTATAGGGCTGTACGAGGATTCAAACATCTCTAAATAAATTAGTTGGGCTTTTATTTTGAATTTTTGTTCTTTCTTAAGCTGAGAGTACTTTACTTGCTGCATGCTTTTATTTTGGAATAAAGTAAGGCCCTTACTGTAGATGGAAGGTGAGGACATGAACTTAAACACAGAAACAGGAAGTTGTTAAGGATCACGCCCCCTGTGAACAGATTCTATTTTTTATGTAGAATCTGTAAATACAGATTACCTACCGCCTGTCTGGACAGCACACGATGTGAGCGAGTGTCAACAACAAAATCAGCTTGATTCTATTGTTTCCTATTTTAGTGTCCTAACTGCCGGCGAGCAAAGGAGCACAACGCGGTGCACTGTTTTAACCCCGATGTCCGGTTTCTATTTTTCTCTGTGTTGCTCTTAGACGGATGAGTAACGTCAGAGGAGGGGACTGTACAAGACTCTGACACTCTCCCTCCTCCCTCAGCAGAGCTCGTTAGCTTGTTGTACAAAGTGGAGCTAACGGAGCATTAATAATATCCACATAATGATTGACATGTTGACCTTTGACCTGTCAACACCTGAGAAAAACTTTATTCAGCTCACAGCGGGCCGTTTATTGATGAGCCTCTGAGTGTTTGAGTCACCAGCTCGTCAATACAAAGCACCACACTTCAGTTTGTCCACCTTCAAAATAAAAGCACCACACTTCAGTTTGTCCACCTTCAAAATAAAAGCACCACAAGTTATAATGTTTATAAGAGGAAACTGAAACTCACAGAGCAGAGAAGTGAAGTGAATATTTAACGGTGCAGTGTGGTCAGCCAACATTTGCGTGCTGTTAGGAGATGATGTCAGGATGAGTCTCGGGTCGTGTTGCCTCTCTGCTTTCTTTCACTCCTCCGTGAATCAGATTTTCATTGAAAACACGTTTCTCCCCTCAGTTCAGGGATTACTGCGGTGTCTGTCAGCGGTGGGACTGGAGGGGGAATCCCAAGCCGTTCGAGAAGTGTAACCTGGACATCCCGTTCTTCGAGGGACACTTCCTCAAGGTCCTCTTCGACAGGATGGGTCGCATCCTCGATCAGGTCAGTGTCATAAAAACAGCGTTTTTTGTGTTTGATTCTGCACTTTATATAAATCTAAACTCTCCAGAGACATTAAGCAGCTTTATATGCAAATGAGCACTGAAGTGGAGTTAAGGTCAGACTTAACGAGGTTCTTCAGAAGCAGCAGGTAAACTTTCAGCTGATGCTCACAGAGTTCCTCCCACGCAGACTCAAGTTCAGCGCCTGCATACAAACAGCGCTTGCTGAAGGTCCACGAGGGGCACGATGAGATTAAAGAGATTGAAGGAGAGACGATGCAAACGAGCTGCTGATTAACGAGGCCTTCTTATCTTTAAAAATAGGAATAATAAACCGAGCCGAGAAGTCGTTCAACAAATGAGTGGGGGGGGTTATATTTATATATATTAATTCTACTTGTTATCGAACTTACTTGAGTTCCACGTTTCATATCTTGCAACTACAAATCAAGTGCAGCAGTCCTCATCCTTGCATACACTACAGAGCAACTGAGAGTGAAGGTCTCTGTGGGCGGAGGGAGGCTGGGAGACAAGTGAGGTGGAGGGAGGATGGAGGGAGGTGGAAGGGGGGAGATGCTACCTGGCCCCCGGCTGCAGGTCTCTGTTCTCCATCATGTAGTTTCATGGTCTTTTCTGTCTGCAGCCCTACGATGTGAACCTGCAGGTGACGGCCGTGCTGTCCAAGCTGTCTCTGTTACCACACCCACACCTGCACGAGTACCTGCTGGACCCCTACATCAACCTGGCCCCCGGCTGCAGGTCTCTGTTCTCCGTCATCGTCAGGGTAAGACTCCAGATTATACACACAGGTTATCGTCTCCTTCACAGAGAGAAGATACAGCTGATCCCAGAGCAGCAACCACTGATGTGTGTGTGTGTAAGCAGTTTTTTAGGGTGTAGCCAGTGTGAAGTTTCTAGCAGATATCAGGTCCTTAAAAAGTCCTAAATTAGATTTTCTTAAAATATCTTAATAGTCTTATTTGTACTGTATTAGAGGTCTTAAATGTTTCATGGCACATTGAGATGTCTGAGTATTTTCTCAAATCTACTCTCTCTAGTTTGTGATTTAGGATTTTTTAATAGTGAGCACAGGCTAACGACGATTATGAGGCAACCTGCAAGATATGTAAAATACATTTTTAAACCTGGGACGATGTGAATCAAAGCCGTCGAGTCCCACATGAGATCTGGTGAAAATGTTGTGTTCATTTTTCTTTGTGTGGGTCTTAAAAAGTCTTAAATTAGAGGATAAAGAGTGGGCAGCATCCCTGAGATCAACATGAAGGAGCGCAGACTGCAGTCAGAAAAGAAAGATGCTTACTTGTTAGACATGCATGGATCAAAAACTTCTAGAAACTTGACCTGTTTCTCATAATTAACGGGACCCTCCCACACATCGTCGGTGTGTAAAAGGCGACGTGCAGTCTGCTGGAGGAAGCACGGTGTCTCCGTGGTCGTTTTATGTGTTTATGGAAATCAAAGCTACCGTAACACCCGGTGTATAGGATGCTTTTTAATACCTATTTTTCATATAAACTTTGGCCGCTTCCTTTAAAACGGTGCGACCAATATACAGACAAACACGCCATCATTACCACGAGTAGAGCCGCCACCATCACACACTGCACGCCACCTGAAAGGTTTGAAACGTACCCTCCATGTTTTGCACGCTGTGCTGGGAAACTTAGTGTCACTGATGAGGCTGCAGCACCACTTCTACCATCTTTTCTCCTTCATGAGGTCATGGTGCATTTAAAGCAAGCGGTGGTTTACTGGTCAGTAAGTAAAGCTTGGTGAGCGCTGGCCTGATGGAAAGACTCCTCATTCAACGAGCGACCAGCGGAGGTGGGCAGAGACTCGTGGGCTGTAGCTAGGAGAGCAAACGGCAAAAAAAAAGAGCGACACCACTGCACACATACTGCACGTTGGTGACTTTGCTGAGCGCAGAGCAAATCAGTAAACCTTTTCCTCTAAGGGAGACCCCTTAAATCAGAATGTTATAGACCTGTGCGGTTTATATTCTGGATCTGACAGTCTGTCTTCAATCAGTGCAGTCATACATTCTGAGTGCTGCAGCTGCACTAGTAAGCAGTGTGTCTTTGTGTTACTCATCACTTTGTGTTCTTTTGTGTGTTTCAGGTCGTTGGAGATCTCATGTTGAGGATTCAGCGAATCCCGGACTTCACTCCCAAATTGCTGCTGGTGAGGAAGAGATTACTGGGCCTGGAGCCGGAGGGCATCACGTACGTACTGTGATCCTATATACGTGTGTGTGTGTGTGTGTGTGTGTGTGTGTGTGTGTGTGTGTGTGTGTGTGTGTGTGTGTGTGTGTGTGTGTGTGTGTGTGTGTGTGTGTGTGTGTGTGTGTGTGTGTGTGTGTGTGTGTGTGTGTGTGTGTGTGTGTGTGTGTGTGTGTGTGTGTGTGTGTGTGTGTGTGTGTGTGTGTGTGTGTGTGTGTGTGTGTGTGTGTGTGTGTGTGTGTGTGTGTGTGTGTGTGTGTGTGTGTGTGTGTGTGTGTGTGTGTGTCGTGTCGGTGTGTCGGTGTGTCTGTGTGTGTTCAACTGATTTATTTTCAGTATATTTTTTAACGCTTCTCTCCCCCTCTCTGTCTGCTCCTCCTGTAGTATCGACCACATGACTCTCCTGGAGGGCGTTATCGTGCTTGAGGAGTTCTGCAAAGAGCTGGCAGCCATAGCCTTCGTCAAATACCACGCAGCAGCCTCGTCCTCGCCGTGACCCTCCTGCTGATCGTCCATCTGCCTCGCTCTGCAGACAGGTCGGGATGGGACTTCTTTGGGGTGCGGTGGAAACGGTGGCACAGGGTCGACAAAAAAAAACTTCACACCTAACTGCTCATCCCCGACTGATAGAGCCAACATGGATGGATTCATAGCGCCGCCTCCTTCGGCCTCCCGGGCTGCTCCATGAAAAGTCTCTGGTCTGTGTTTGACCGATCGGAGCGAAGACACTGCCCAGCCCGAGGAGGAGGAAGAAGAGGGGGAGGGGGAGCAGAGAGATGGTCACTGGACTCTTTTCAGCCGCTGACTTTTCTCTCCCTCACCTCCCTCGGCGTCCCTCCTCCTCGTCCGTCAAAAGACGATATCCTGTAAAGATTCTGTCGAGGACAAAACATGTTTGTGTATTTATTTTCTGTCCCGTCGTCGGCCATTTGTAAAAGTCATTGCCTTAGTGTGGATTCACACCTTTCAGTTACAGACTGTTTCCTGTCGAAACATTTTAATCTTGAGTCGTCTGTTTGAAGACAAGAGGCCCACTACCTTCTGACCTTTGACCTCCTCATACCCCTGTAGTTACATTCATGTTGAGGTGCAGTATTTACGATGCTGCGCTCAGATTTTATACACCGAGTCGTCGTTATTTATTTGCTTTCAGGTTGCCTTTTTAACTGACGTCATATTAAGAAGGACGTCGATCACTTTATTTGTTTCTCTTCAGTTCGTCTTTAATCACCCAAAGATTTCACCTGACATCACTTCCTATTCCTGAAAAAGGAAACGCTGTGACGTCGTTTCATCGATGCTTTCAGACTTTTTAACTCCACGCTCAGTGTTGCATTTCTCACACACACACCGGTGTTTATTTAATCAAAGCGATGTGTGTGTTTAATCGTTTTTATAACATTTATAATTCTGTTTATTTTATCGATGAGAGGAAGCCGAGGATCAAGTCGCTTCATGTGATGCGTTCAGGCGTCTTTCAAACGTATTTAAAGTCACACTGACGCCTTCGATTGTCACTTTATGAGAAGCTGGGTCGGGTTTTCAGACTCTACTTCACCAACTATCACAGTCCACAGCGAGCGAGAGGTCAAAAACCTCGCAGCACTCTAAGTACGAAGATCAACTTAATGAGAGCGACGCGTTTCAGCCTGTGGCGTTCACGAAGAAGACCCCGATGAAGGCCACATGCCGAAACACTTCAGACTAATCAAGTTAATAACTCATTTTATTCACATGTTGGACATTTCCCCCTGAACGCATCGTTTTAGAGGATCCTAATCAACGGGCGCCCTGTGGACTGCCATGCTGCTCATCCCGGGTCGTAGCTAGAGCGGGAACAGACCGCTTTTAAGATCAGAGTCATCCAGCGCTCGCCAGGATCGTTGAGGCCGACTTTAAAGCTCAAAGCATAGAAAACATCAGAGCGAACGTGTCCTTTCACTCATTATTATTTTGTTGCTCTTCTATATTTCGGATTTGCAATTTGTGGATCTCAAAAAGTTAACGTTAAAGAAAGACGATGGATCGTGAAAACCAGGAGAGGAATCAGTCTGTTTTTCTAGTTTGAAACAGTCCTTGAGGTTTAAACTCCTGCGGTGCTGACAGTCTGTTGAATGATTTGGTTCAGATTTGGAAGCAGCTTTTCTGAGCGTGGCGTCAGAGGAAAATGGCTGCTGTCTGAGTACTTTATTGACTTTTGACCCCTGAAACAGAAACACATCATCTTAGTTGTCGTCTGTTTGACCCCGTCATGTCTTCAGTTCTGAGATGATTCAATCTGAACATCAGAGATCGGCGTGTGCGGCCTGGACGCCACAGACGCTCAGAACGCTGTCACGACTTCCTCTAAGCTGGCGTGTGTTTACCTGCAGTATTACCTGTTACCCCCCCCCCGGCTGTGTGCTGGATGATGTAACGTTTGAATATGTTTAAATCACTTCAGTTTAACTTTATTTGAATGATTGGTGGCGTGTGTGTCGGGACGATGGCGTTCACGTGTGACTGACGCCGCGACTCGTCCGGCTCCATCAGCACCTCAGCTACATTATGCAACCGCCTGCATGCATTCACATTTGCACATTGTCTTTTTTCATTTTTGTTTATGATGTAAATGTACAAAAAAAAAGTTTTTTTTTGTTTTTTCCAAAATGTTTCATAAACCAAAAAAGACGAAAATTCTCGGATGTTCCAGAAGTTTCTATTTTTAGACCTCGTCTTCATCGCTGCGCTCTGACGCTCGCTCGTACACGTGTAGATAATGTGTGTACGATAGCGATAGAGATCTACTTCCTGCTGTACAGGCATGCATGAACGTGATTTTTCTTTGTTAAAGAGAAGAGAAAAAGGAGGATTTGTTTGTGTGGGGACGATTCAGAGAGTCTGAGAGGAGACTTGATGCCTTACTTGACACTGTGGATCTCTGACCACGCCTCGGATCCACGTGACGTGGCGTGTACATCTGATGGAGCCTCTCTTGTGTTACACTTTCTAAAAGACGCACACGACTCTGAGTCGTCACATATCTGATGCCAACTGATTTGTTTTTCCTGTCAGCTTCGACCAATCACTGTTCCCTGTGTGTGCGTCTCTTCATGTTCATTGCTGCTTTGAAACGGGACGTAAAGCATCCCGTCTCTTCTTTCACCGCCGCCTGTTTCCGTTTGTGATGGTGCATCATTTCACGTTAGGGTGCATGCTCGCTCCTCTGGCCTCTGAGGACATGTGATCTCATTTAGCCGTCTTCATTTCAGCTCCGTTTGTGTTTCATTACGGACAACATGGTTTTCCTTTAACTTCCTCCGTCCTGATTAAAAAAAAACAGAAAACAGTCTTCAGACGGAGGTGTGCTCATTCTTTTCTCTTTTTTTATTACAAAATGTCTGTACAACAAAAACAAAAATACACAAAATAAACAGTTTTTTTTTTTCAACGACAAGGTGAAAAGCACAAACTGTTCAGTGTCCCCTTAAAAAGCCGCAGATAACACCACCGGGGTCCTGAACGCCTGCAGCCGGTCAATCTCTCCGTGCAGGACGAGCAGACATCACAGACACCGAGCAGCACTGTGTGTGTGTGTGTGTGTTTCATTCTGTCAGATTGTCTTTGGACTCGAGGCCCGTCACGCTCTGCAGTCTCTGTGCTCTGAGAATCAGGTGATGTGAGTGTTTCCCTTGTCTTGCAGTGAACATGGAGAAGAGGCACTGTGGTGCAGGAGAAGGCTCTCGGTCCGTCTGCGTGGTGATGATGATGCTGAGGGTCAAACTGCAGTCAGCTCACCGCTCACACAACAATCAGAACATTTTAAAGCACCTGATAAATCATGAGAGAAGTACTCAATGTTGTCGTATTACAGCTGATGAACACTGAGCTGCTCCTCCACACAAACACACACTCAGGTGTTTGAGTGGAGGGCTGTTAAACCTCACAGTCTGACTCGAGTCAGCAGCTGATTCACATGATTCAAGTTGTGCAGATCAGAGCGACAAGTTTACAGTCGGTCACCTTGTTCTAAAAGAAGTAGAGGGTCAGGTGATAGTTTGGCACTCAGATTCACTGCCCTGCAGATGAGCGTCTTTAGAAATAAGTTAACAGCTTAAATATGAACGACCAGCAGGGAACACTGTGCACGGACAACCGACACTCGTTCGCAGGAACACACAATGAAAAGATAAACAAACCGTGGCACGCTGAAAATGACTTTACTGTCACATTATTGTGAGAAGTTGCAGGCGACACGAGGACTTGACAGTGAAGTCATTTTCAGTGTTTCACAGTTTGATATTCTTAATTTTTCATAAAGACGAGGATTGGTGCCAGGCATGAGGAGGAAACCAGGAAGTGAATCTAATTATTACATGTTTTGATGATGAACTTTAGGACAGAAATTAATCTGGGGTAAAATCTGTTATTTTTCACAGTTTATTTTTCACATTCTGCAAAATATAAAAAGTTGTCTTATTTAGATTTTCCCGTTACAGTTCGACTTGTTCATAAAAATAATAATCTTCCTTCTCTCCTTTTTTCCTGCCACCAATGCCTTTCCCTCGCATTAAGCCTGATGTACTCTGAACCATTTCAGGTCGATTAAGACCCCTTATGAGTCGTTTGGAAGTCGAGCAGAATTCAGCCCAATCGTCCCGGCGTGCAGTGCACACTAACGCACGACGACCAATCACCGTTTTATCAGCAGCGCCCGACCGGTTGGAACGCGTTAGTGCGGTTGCATGCAGTCATAAGACCAAAATATCAGTGTGAGCAACAACAAGAGCCGATTCACCGACTCCAGGACATCCCCTCGATTTTACCTCACACACACTAAAATACAGCGTCTGTCTCCCCCCCGCCGCCTATCATCAGGGAGAGAGAGAACGTCTTTACCGGTGTGTGTAGCCCAGCTGAGCCGTGAACATGAACAAATGAAATCAAGTCTGTTGGAGTTTCCTGTTGAGATCGGTGAACGCTCCATCCTGATCTAACTCGTACAACGTGAGCTCTCAGGTCGTTCAGTGTGAGCTCATTAATCGTGTCCTTGGGTCAAGCGTCGTAAACAATTCAGCCGTACAGAGTGAGCTGATGTTCCACTACGACTTTAAACAATCGTACAGCATACGCCGGGCTTCCAGGACTTTTAATCAAACACAGAATTTTCAGGCATTTTTTAAAAAACCTGCCTGAAATAAATCATCTCGTCATCGTTTTAAAATCTTCAGATCAGAAATCTTCTGACAGTGAGTCATTGTGACGTTCCCGCTGTAGAAACAGAAATGTCATGTTTTACATTTTGTGACTCGGCGTCTTTAGAGGACACTCTGAAAAACAAAAGTCTCAAACAAACAGAAAGAAAAAGTAGAAAAACCTCCAGCGTTCTTTCTCCACATGTGAAAACATCAGGACAGCACGTCAGCGTCAGACAGCTTTTAATTCATAACCCCTCCTCAGTAAATCATCGTCATGAACATAAAAAACCACGACGTAGAAAACAACTACATGCCGTCGCACAAACTCAACCAGGCTGAAAATACAAGTTATCAATTTAAAAAAAAAATATGTACATTTCTAAACGTCTCTTTTTTTAAACCAATAAGAGTTCCCCCGCCCATTTACAAACCCCACCCCACACACACACACACACAAACACACACAGAGCGCTCGTGCACAGGTTGCTCACACTGGAACATTCAGACACACACGTCTCTTTGGCTGGTGTGAAGCTGCGGCACCTCGCCGTGTGTGTGTGAGCGCATGTGTGTGTACATGTAAATACACGTTTTTAAAAATCACACACACACCAAAAAAATAACACCATCTAACGGCACAGGAAACGTCCCGGTGATGGATGTAGTGATATATCTCCTATGCATTTTTCGAATATATATATATTTATATTTATATATCAAAACGTACTGAGTAAGGGTCATGCACACGCACGCCCTTTGATTGTGTTTAAATATGTTTTTAACATCACATTCGGAGCGTGAAGTGAAACTGAAGGAAGGCATCAATAAATAGAGATCTGTGTGTGTGTGTGTGTGTGTGTGTGTCGGTGTAACACTAAACAGCGCCCGCCGTCCATCAGTCGCTCTTGGAGTTCTGCGCAGCGTCTAGGTTTACCACCTGCAGCTCCGTCAGGTTACTGCTGCTGCCGCTCGACTGCTGACCAATCACCATCTGCAACACAACACAGCTACGTCAGGCTCTGAGAGACAGCCAATCACACGACGCCACATCACTCAACACGCAGCAGATTTTAAAAAAACTCCTGCAACATGAATCATTTAACTGGGGAGAGTTGTACTACGTTATAAAGAGAGACATTTAGTCTTTAAAGGTCACTTATTTAAAATCCACTTCACCATGTTCCTCTATCTCTAATATGAGTCTCTAGTCTGTCTACAAACCCCCCAATGATGAGAAAAGTGCATCCTCTCCGACTTTAGCCTCCTCCACTTTTCAGAAAATGTGTGCTCAAACAGGCCGTTTGGAGATTTTCCCTTCATGACATCACAAAGGGCAGTAACCCCTCCCCCAGGTGGGTGACACTCCCACAGCTAGGTGTTTGTTCTGTCCTCTGAGTTTGCCTTCTCACTGTAAACACTAGGACATGGAGCGAGAAAGCCCGAGACACTAAAGCCCTTCCAGAGAGGGGGCGTGGTCAGACACAGCTCATTTACATATTTAAAGGTACAGACACAGAAACAGCCTGTTCTGAGCAGGGCTGAAATAGAGGGGTTTGTAGGCATGATCAAATACAGGATCAAAGTGGATCTAGAACAAGAAACTTCACACACGTTTTGAGGAGCTCTGAGACTTATTTACACTGATTGAAGAGGAGAAGAATATGTGACCTTTACAATATGACATTTTATTTTGAAATTAGTCTCTAAATATTACGAGAAGGTTGGTCAGTTTCTTTTAGTTTTAACCCATCAATTTCAGTTCCAATGGAAACAGGAAGTAAAGCAGAACTGTTTAATTTAAGATAAAATAAGGAACTTGTGCTCGATGGAAAGTAACGACATTTACTGCACGCAGAAAAAGGAACTTAGGACAGAGTCAATTATAAAACAAAAAGTGATGTAACAAGGTGGACTCTACTTTTGACTCGTCGACTGAGCTCTCATTTAAAGGAGCAGAGGTGTCGTTTTCCCCTTTATAACTACGGCTGCAGGAAGACGCTGCGGGGGATTCACTGTCGCTGAAGGGGTTAAAAACATGTAAGTTCTGCTTTAATTTCAGACATTTATCAAATCCCGATCGACTCTTAAACGCTGCCGGCCCCAATTACACCTTATCAAAGGAGTATACTGTTTTATTCATTGTTTGTTAGATGGTTGTACGTCATTGTAACGTAAACATATCTTTTTAAACTTTCATCACATTAAAAGGTTTCTGATCCATCTGAGGAGGAAGCAGCGTCACACTTCATGAAATACAAAAACTCATTCCAGAGTTGAAATCAGTGCACGGTGTTGTTAAACTCTGCGTGTGTGTTTTTGTCTTGGTGTAAAACAAGCAGCCAGCTAATCATCCACATTCACAGGTGAGACCCTGCGGCCGCGCTGTGCAGGTGCTCTGTTAGGATGCATGAGTGCAGTCAGGTGACATGCTGGTTGCAGAGAGAATTTGAGAGTTTCACTTGTAAAATGCAGATCTTGCCGTACTGGGTGAAGCTGCACCGCTGAGACGGGGATCTGCACTGTGCCGGGGGGTGCTGTGAGGAACACCTGAGGGACACCGCCTGAGAAAAAACAAACGTTTCCCATTGGTTAATATTCAAGTTTAATCACAAATGCAGAGAACTGTGTGCTGTTCAGAGTCTCACCTGTGTCCTGGCCCTGTGCGTGGGACACCTGCATGGCTGAGGTTCCCTGTGAGAAGGCGTTGAGGACCAGGCCGCCGTCAGCCAGCCCCGGCGTGGAGGCGTACATCAAGGTGTGGGGGCTCGGGTACATCATGTGACCCGCCACAGACGTGGGCACTGAGGAGGTGACGATGGTTGCTGGGAGACTGACTGTGGCTGCGAGGAGGAGGAGGAGGAGGAGGAGGAGAGAAAGCACGAGTCAAACTGAGGGCAGAAGTGTTTACACATGATGGCCAGCAGGTGGTGCTACACCTCCATCTATATTTAACCAGTCACTCCTACTGATGCAGAGTGTAGAGCAATGACTCAGACATTACAGGACTCAACTCATGTTTACAAAAACGTAGTTTTCTTTAAATAATTTACAAATGTTGTCAGAGACAAAGTAGAAAACAGAATAGAACCAGGTTTACATGCAGCTCAAGAGGAAACCTCCAGGGCTAAAAAAAATGAAAGTGCAGTTCCTCCAATGTCCACTAGAGTCTGTCTCCTGCAGTGAGTCAGTCCCCATAGAGCCACCATCTTTACAGCTGAAATAAACATGTTTATAGCCTGGTACGAAAACTTTATTTACATGTTAGCAACAATTAGCAGATAACTGAGTCTGTGAGAAACATACCTGGACTGTTAGCTTACTCACTGTTTGTCATGCAGCTTCTGCTCCTGATAATTAATTAGCCACAACCACATTACTGAGCTTTGCTAACCCTCCACACCTCTCCCGCTCTGCTTGTTCAGGGACGTCTAAAAACCTTAAATCAGAGCTGAAGCAGACAGAACAACAGACAGGTTTGACGTACTGGTGGAGTTTGTGGAGGTGTGGGACATCTCGGGGCTGCTGTCGCTGTTGGAGGTGTTGGGATGGACCTGGATGGCCTGGAGCTGCTGGGGGACCCCGGGACCTGCAATCACACACACACACACACACACAGAGCAAACAGCCACTACAGTGAGTCATAAACCTCACAGTGGGAGAGCAGCAGTCACAGTGGGAGTGATGGGAGTACTATCATGTGAGGTAGAAGAAGAAGTCGTGCAGGAGAACTCCCAGCATCAGGTGCATGTTATTAGTCAGAGCAGAGAAGTAGCATTAGCAGCATTAGCAGCTCTATGATGATGGTGTGGAGTGCAGAGAGGTGCTGCAGCGTGCAGAGCGGGTCACCTGTGAGGGATACAGCAGCGGGGAAGCGGAACACGGCCTGTTGTCCGTGCTGAGACTGCGGGGCGGCTGCCAGTGTCGCACCGTGCTGCCCCTGGAGGGTCAGGGAGTGCTGCTGCAGCTGGCTCAGAGGAATGGTGGGGGTGCCGGGGGGGAGAGGAGTGCCTGCTGCAGGGGCACATACATACACAGGGTGGGGGGGGTTAAAACTGAATGCAGAAGTAAAACCTCCTCTCGAACGTCCAAATAAAAGTTTGAATCGTTTTCAAACGCTTGGTATCGGATGGTGACTAGCAGTTATTTTGCACGCCCCATGTACAGAGGACTGTCCTCGAGGTGATCGGCCCGGGTTCAAGTCCCACTTGTGGCTTCTTTCCCGCATGTCATTCCCCACGTTCTCTATCCCTGATTACCGACATCCATTTGGTGTTCACCAAAATAAAAGTGGTCATACAAAATATAACATGCAACAATTTATTACAAACATACAAAACTTCGTCAGCTTCCAAATCGTGACTCTGCCGTCATATCTGTGTTATCTAGACCGTGTGTAGAGATTATCATTCTGGCATCATGACGCGTTTAATCAAAATGTTTTTTCATCTCTGATGAGACGCTTTGAAACAAACCACAGCAGAGCTTGTTCAGCTTGCTGCATGTGCACACACAAGATATAAACTCAGACGGGTTTGTTGTCCTGGTGTTCGACTTTAAGTCAAAGTATAATGCTTTAAGAGGAATCAATGTTTGTGATCACCTCAGGATGATTTTTCACCTCTTAATTTCTGTTAAACATTTATTGGAGATATTTGTTCGACTGTTCTTCGTGTGCTTCTGTCAGCAGGTTCTCTCTGTTCACAAACGAAGACAGAGGAGGGATGATAAAGTCCAAAGCTTTTATTAAATCTTAAACACACTGAGTACTGATGAACAAACATGGCCGCTAAGAGGAGCAGCAAAGATGATGATCTAATTCCTTGACAGCATTTTGACATCTGACATCTCATTTTGACATCACATGCTCAGAAGTCGTTTTTAAGAGCTGTGAAAAACATCAGAAGCTGTGTCATGTTCTCTTCAAACGTTTCAATTTTCTGTTTATTTTGTCTCTAACAGTCACAGATCTTTGCTGTATCAGAGCCTCTCTCTAGCTCCCTCCCTCTTTCTCCCCCTCTCTCTCCCTCACTCTCCCTCACTCTCCCTCACTCTCCCTCTCCCTCTCTCTCGCCCTCTCTCTCCCTCTCTCTCTCTCTCGGTGGGTCATATGTTGTTCAGACAGTTGCTGCAGTGGGGAGGGCCGGCCCCGTCAAGCTGTCAGCTGAGGAGCTTTCAGTGTGGGAGGGTGTGTTGTTCCACCTGGCACTGCTGCTATGTGCCAGACAGGTGGTGAAGAGGAGGGAGTAGGGAGGGAGAGCGAGCGAGGGAGAAGCTTGTAAAAGAGAGAGAAAGAAGGAGGGGGGACACAGACACGTTGTGGCGTCTTTCAGCTGTCACTCAGAACAACAGGGACGACCTTTTGGTGGACGTCGTTCGCCGTCCTTTCAGCTGTTTCCGACTGCAGGCGATAAACAAACGGAAACACCTCACCTCCCACATGACTGTCAGAACCCGAGAACACGAGGAGGCCTTTCAAGAGCGTTTATCAAGACGACCCCCCCCAGGGACAATAAACGTCTGAATGGAACTTAAAGAGGGTCACGTCTAGTTCAGGACCAGATCTCTGACGTTATAGCCAGCGATCCTCATTGAATATTCATGACTAATTACAGAGCGTGTTCATCAGCCGCCATCACCAGGCCTATTGTGTCCGTCGCCACTAATTATTCCCGTCCCCGAGAGACAATCAAAGGACGCCCGGGCGCCAACGCCACCGACTCCCTGGATACAAGGGCGTTATTAAACCTGAGGGTGCTGAGTGTTGTTGACTGAAGAGCTGCTGTGTGATGTAAACATATAACATAAAAGAGGCACAACCTCCCCCCCTCCCCCGAGATGACAGCGCAGGTCATTCAAATTGTAATCAGACAATACGCAGACGGCGGCGTGATAACAACGCAACATAAAGGCCTCGAGAAGAAGGTTCAATTAGATTCTGCAGGACGACAAACAAAGCAGAGAGGAAGTAATTAAGATCAGAAACGGGGGGGGGGTGTCTCTCTCACTCACCGGGCATGAAGGTGAAGCCGCCAGGCAGCTGCATGACACCCGCAGAGCCCCCGGTGGTCTTGAGGACGGTACCATTGGCACTGATGTTGCTGCTGCCCGAGGCGGGCGCCAGGTAGTTGGTAATGGGAAACGAGGGTCCGCTGCTCACCTGCATGGTGGTGGAGGTGGTGGGCACGGTGGACTGGGCGGCGCTGGTGGTGCCGGGTAGGCTGGCTACCGTGAAGGTGGGCTTCAGTGTGTCCTGAGCGAGAGAGAGAGAGAGAGAGAGAGAGTGTGTTCAGAGTGTGTTTTGTTACAGTCTTTCATTATCTAACGCCAGCGTCTACATTTTGTTACTGCGGCGTCTTAGTGTCTTTCAACCGTCGAGGAAAATCCAAGGTAACCCTGATGACATCAGACAAAATAAAGTAAATAAAAAAATGTAAAAAAAAAAAAAGAAAAAGCAACATCAAACAGTTTCATGTGTGGACGACTGAAAACAGAAAAACACCATTAATGAGGCTTTTCCTCCTCGAGCAGCAGAACCGAGAATCAGCAGGAGAATGTTTCATGTTTGTACTTTTTTCAGGGATCAATGGACGCCTGACAGAAACCAGAGGTCGCTTTTAACTACTCGGGAAAAACAACATTACAAAAAGGTCTGAGACCCCGATAATTACAGCCATATGTCTACTTAGAGCTGCAGGGAGAGATTAATCCAGAAACAATTCTTCATCCTGAACAGGAACTGAGTGTAAAGAAACATTATCGTACAATCATCCAGCAGTAAGAGGGTTAATGTGTATTAAAAGGAACATCAACAATCCCTGATGTGAAGGTACGAGAGCTGCAACAAATAATGGAGTCATTGATGGAAAGCCAAATGTATTTATAATCATTTAAAGGATCAATCAGTGAGATGTGTAGAGAGTGAAATGATAAAGGTACCTTACTATATGATCAGACATTAAGGAAACATGCTGAAGTGCTGGCTTCTCTGACAACAATGCAGCAGCCAGTATGTCCTCCTTCTAACTTTAGATTCTGCTCCTGAATGCTCTGGATTTGTTTGGACCAGAGAAGGTAGGAGGTTTTAAGGAACCCCCCGCTCTGCCGTTTTGGACGCCCCTCGGTTTGCCAGATATGAGAGCAGTTATCAGGTCAAACCAACAGGTGTTGCAGCGATGGAAGCGGGCAAGAGAAGTGGTTCAGATAGAAGTGATTGTACCCGACCTAAAAAGCCTCTGCATGTTTCTAATAAGCTCCACGAGCAGAAACGTGCTCAAACTAGGATCAATATTGGAGATGCTTTTGAAAAATGGAGAGAGGTTAGAACACAGAAAGGTTTACAGACCGATGGGGGGGGGGGGAGATAGCGCTCTACAATGTTTAGAATTTAGACTGCAGTACCCATTTTAAACACTAGGGGGTCAGTTACATACTGCTGCTTGGTGATTTTTAAGCAGAAACACTGAAACATTTGAAGAGAAAGTTTGGTCAGTTTGGTCTTTGTGAACGTGTGATTCATGTTTGTCCTGATATTTAAATCAAACCACAGCTCAGTACGATCACGTCTGCTGTCTTTGGTCGAGTCTTCATGAGAACATCATGATCATAAGCAACCTGACGTCCATGCAGAGAACACGGTGATGAGATGCTGACATAAACATAAGATCAGAGGAGGTGAGACGCAGCTTCAAACACACACTAACACGAGCGCTCATTGAGCCCAGAGCAGGATGTGAGGCTGAGTGGGCTGCAGGATGAGAGCAGGGTGGGCGTCATAAAGAACATCCAAACCCACCGTGCCTGTTTCACCCACTTACACCAACACTTAGCACATGATGCTAATGATCTGTGATGGTGCAGCAGGAGTGAGCCTGCACATTACACGGCATGTTAGAGTTGGTAAATGCAGAGTGAAAGTGTTCTTGGAGGGTTTTTGATCCAACACGTAAAGAGAGAGAGAACAGTGGTTGATGTAAATATGAGGTGTCATCACATGCAGGATCGATGGATGTGTGGCATTCAAGAGGATAAAACCATCACACATGAGTGGAAGCTGCAAGTCCACCAGGGTTCACAAGCAGTTGAACATCCTGATCATTAGAATCAACGTTTATCAAGAATACAGACGACGTGATGACTGACAGCTTCTATAGCTGTAGCTGATAGCACACAGCTTACTTTGCACACATCTGGAGATCATAGATCATGATTAAATAAAAACGATCCATGTTTATTTAAAGGAGACGGATACATGTGCTCATGTTTAGACATAATTTATACACTGCATATAATCTTTTATTTTAAAGACTTTCACAGCATACTGACTACCAAGCCGGATGACAGGGAGATTCAAATTCAGACTACACGACGCAAGGTAAGATAACACTACAGCATACTCATACTGCTAGTCAACAGGCAACTGCCTGGGGTCCCAGGCCAGTAGGTGGCCCCCCAAAGGCTGACAAACTTTAAACCATAGCAGAGGCTTAAAATGTGCAATCTGAGTTATTCTGATGCTGGCTCGCGAGGGTGTATTTATAGTTGTTGACCTTATGACGACAATTTTCCTAAAACTGCAGTTCCTCCAGTGTCCACTAGAGTCTGTCTCCTGCAGTGAGTCAGTCCCCATAGAGCTCCATGTTAAAATGTCCATCTTTACAGCTGCAGTTCCTCCAGTGTCCACTAGAGTCTGTCTCCTGCAGTGAGTCAGTCCCCATAGAGCTCCATGTTAAAATGTCCAACTTTACAGCAGAAATAAACATGCTGGTACAATTTGCAAGTGTATCATTTGCACATCTTCTGTTATTTTCCTGTGTCTTCTCTTTGTTGTAAAATACTTCTCTCTATATCAGAGCTGTTCATTAAAGTTTTATTACCCTCTTATTATTACAAGCTGATGATCAGTCCTCTCTGAGCAGGGCTTGTTGGTTTTTATATGTGACTGATTACATGGGTGAGAGGTGGACGATCCAGCACTGATAAGGCCTTCCAACACATACACACCTCTTCATGTGTTTAATATGAAAGATGTTCAGATTGTAACGCCTCAACACAACGATTTCTGAGTTATCTCGTGTTAAAATCTCGTCAGATGATCAAACAGTGAAAGTTGTGACAGTAAAGTTGATGGCGTGCTGCAGATGGCAGAGCATGTGGCGTCTCATACAAGCTGCTCTTATCCACAGAACAAACGTGCATAGAGCCGACGCTCAGTTAGCCACTCAGAGCGCCGTCCTGCTCAGAGTTTGTGACAGTCCAAGGTCCTTCAAACCTTTAGTTAAACAGTCAGAGGCACACACACACACACACACACACACACACACACACACACACACACACACACACACACACACACACACACACACACACACACACACACACACACACACACACACACACACACACACACACACACACACACACACACACACACACACACACACACACACACACACACACACACACACACACACACACACACACACACACACACACACACACACACACACACACACACACACACACACACACACACACACACACACACACACACACACACACACACACACACACACACACACTGTGTTAAATAAAAACATCATCGTAATAAATGTGTCCGTACATCTATATCAATCGATCTCTTAAGATCGAGACAGATCTACAAAAGATATCGGCCGATATGTATTCACAGTATCCGATATATCGTACAGGAAACTTTTCTCTCCACAATTTTCGGCATTGCTAACGGCTAACGGATTAAATGCAGGTACAGCTCGTCTTTTAGACTCGTTCTCTTCACTGGTATAAAAACATGAAGTTAGGATAACATCGACAGCTGTGTTAGCAAGAAGCGACTTTACTTCATATAAACACCTGTCATACAAACATAACACATCTTTTCAAACACACAGGAAATAACTACCACCACAGAGTGTGTGTGTGTGTGTGTGTGTGTGTGTGTGGTACGAGAAGCAGAGTTCAACCTGTGTGAGTTTAAGGACGGGGTGGACGAGGGTGACAAGGGGGGACCGGGAGGGGGACGTGAGAGGGGCAGGAGCAGAAACAGCTGAGGGTTCAGACAGCTGGAGGGAAACCCGAGCCCCTCCGAGGGAGAGTTAACCCTTCCCACGCCAGCTGAGGCGGCAGGAGAACACGTGGAGAGACGGACGCCATCTGAATCTGAGCCGCTCAAATGAATGAGGCCGAACAAGAGAGAGTGAAGTTCTGCTTCAGTTTGAAGTATTTCAGAAATCTCAGGAGTCCATGTACTTCCCACAGATGGTTTGAAACACAGTACAGTATCACATAAACATTCTGTAGATCCGTCTGACCTCTACAAGAACGTTTAAGAACATCAATCAGCCAATGAAAGGAGCTCTGAGCTTCACCTCACCACACGGGGCGATGCTTCAGTCTCACAGATCAGACACTTGATTTGACCTGCCTTAAAGCTGCATGACGTTTTAAGATTCATCATGCAAAAGCCTCGACAACAAAGTTTTTATCCAGTTTATTTATTTGAAGTTGTGAGGCTTCCTTACACTTCCATGACCGCAGTCTGATCCGCATCGCGAGGAGTTCAGGTCATTAACTGAACACTGGTTTGGGATCAGAGCTCATCATGAAGTTTTCAGCCCTGACTGATGATCCAGGTTTGAACCTGCCGGGTCGACTCAAACCCACTCTTATCTCTGTGACCTACATACGAGCTTCCACTGACCCACTGCTTTGTTTGACCACCTCTGTGTGTCTGCTGTTCGACCGCCGGCTCTATAAACAGCGCTGGCTTTTAGTTCAGAGTCAAGGCGCTGCATAGTAAACACGGAGCAGCTCTGTGATGCTGCAGACGCACAATCATCTCTGTGACCAAAGATTCAGCTCAGTCACTTCCTCCTCAGCTCATGATCCTTTGACATCACCAAAGAAGAAAGCACACGCTCTTATTGTGACGGGTCAAAATACAGTGTAAACAATACGCTATATCAGTAAAGCTGTGTTTACAACGTAAAGTCCTAACTGAGTCCTGGGAACTTTATCTAACCCCCAACAGGTCCCTACTTTAGGGGCAGGACTTTCTAGAAGAGCAGGAACTTTCGGGGTTGGGCTCTGCAGATCTGAACTGTTCTGATTGGTTGTTATTCACAGCATCGAGTCGACCATCAGAGCAGCAGAGGTAGACTCACTGATCCCTGCTTAAAGGCACAGTATGTAAAATCCACCACCAGGGGGCACTCCATCAAAAACAATAACAAA